CATAATGTATGGAGTTTTTATTCTAGCCCTATTCACACGCATCTGTTCCCTAAATGGTATGAAGATGAACGTCTCACTTCCTCCTGTTGTAAAAAAGGTAAAGCTATCCCTGTTACAGGCCGTGGAGGCTCCAACATTTTCTACAGACGATCGGCTCACAGATGGCGGTGAGGTTGTTAGCCTTACGCGCCGACCGCCCTTTACCCCAGGAAGACTCCATGTACTCATTTCTGTTAGAGGCTGAATCGACTCCAAGGCCATGGGGCGGATGGAAGGATTAGGTCAATTGAAAAATCCACTGTCCTTTGGGGAATGGAACCCGCAACCTTCCGGCTTGTAGCATAGTGCCCCACTTCCTCCAGTAGTGAATGGTTTAATGTACAATTTGAGGTTCTCACATTGTCATGAAGAGTTCTTTCTCCTGGGATATAACGCCCTGTATTCCACCGAAATTTGACCGACGTTTCGAAGGAACACGTCACCTCCATCTTCAGGGTCGATGAGTAAGCCACCCAAGAGGCCAAAATGAAGCAGGCAACACGCAGTGTTCGTGCTTAGCTTACACTTCACCCCTGAGGATGGGAGCGACATGTTTCCTCCAAAACGTCGGCTGACTTTCAACGGACCACACGGCGTTATATCCCAGAAGACAGAACTCTTAAGCTGATTGGATGACTGTTAAAACTAGAGGGACATGGAAATGCTTCGGTTTCATCTACTCATCTCTTCGGCGGGGAGACAGCTCCGAGCAGCAGATCCCTAAACAAAGTTTANAAAGCCAAAAAAAAAAAAAAAAAAAAAAAAAAAAAAAAAAACCCGGCAACTCGCGTTGGGCTGGTTTGGCATTATCACGTTAGCTGAATTTTTACATCACAAGCCAAAATATATTAATTAAATTCAAACACGAGGAATAATTTTCTTCGACTTTAAAATCGGCGTCTTCCAGTTCAGTATCATCCAAAACGAAAGATGACCTTGCACTGTCGGCCATTTTGTTCTACGATGCTATGCTCACGCGTTGTATTGAAATGCTCACCATCTTCACCTACAACTACACGCGATCGCGATAGTTTTGTTATTTGAAATAATTTTAAAGTATATACATTAAACTTTAAAATAAATAAAAATTGCATCACACTGAACAATCAGATAAAATTCATTTTACATAAGTTTTACTTGCGCAATCTCTTTATATAAGAATTACCCAATGTGACGATTGTCTCCTAACACAGCCTGGTTTCGAACCCAGTACACGAATCGAAATATCTACACGGTTAGGGGGTACGGCAACTTTTAATTCTGGACGTCAGGTAGAGATTTATATCAGACATTTTAATGGGGAAGTATAAAATTATTTGCCGGCTATGTTTTCATCAATGACCGTGAAATATGAACAATTTGCTGGAAAGTCTTTCTTTCGCTGTTTGCGATTAAACAAGATCGAATCATGTCTAACCCTCTTTAGCCTGGTATTCGTCTAAATAATATTTAAAACTGTTACTACCTCCCAGAAAACACACTTTTTCTTAATAACTAAGGCCAGTCGGTTAATGCTGTTTATTCTGATACATAAAACACAAACAGTCAGCGGCCAAAAATGCAGTGTTTATGAGCGTTAGAGCGGGTGAAGCATACACCAATAACTGTGATTTAAAGGGTTAATCGCCAGAATCTGCTCTCCTGGGCCGTCATTCAACTTTCTAGCATCTATTGTCTAAGATTCATATGTCGACGGAAGGCAAGAGCAAACTACGTAACTGAAAATCCGGGATTCGTTGTGGACATATTCTGCAGCAACTGTTTCGTTCTAACACAAAACGGAAAAAAGTGCAAAAACTAAACTCAACAGTCATAAACAATGCCCGGTTATGAACACTGAAAAAAAAAATATCATAGCAAACCCAGTTGGACCATTACACAATAGTCAGATAACATTACTTCAGGAAAATAACTCTGTCGCACGAAACGATATACTGAAATACTCCATCGTAAAAGGTGAACAGATTATTATGCCTACTTACAAACTATCGATATCCCCATGTACTTCATGACTCATCACGTACATTTTGACCCAGCTCGCCACTATCCTCTCCCGTAAGGGATAAAAACAAAATACATTACCCGGCATTAATTTATTACAATCACATTAAAATTAAAGAACAATATTCTGTCATAATACAAGCCAATTTAACTACCACTAACCTTAGGCCTCATTGCTGAAACAAAACCTTCCTATTTGAAGACTAAGGAATCACTGCCACTATCACATTCAACTCTCACCATCTTAACGTCACACGGACGAATGATTGCTGCAGTCTGAAACTGCTCAAAGTAAGCACATGCCTGAACATGTTCAATTCCAAAGTCATTGGAATTAGTTTTATGGTTGTGACGTACAATACAATGGCGATAGCCTGTGCTGCCATCTCCTATCCGGTAGGAATACTGAAGGTATTCAATGGTTGGGCAGTACACATAAGCAATACAATGGCGACTATATACTAAGCCTGTGCTGCCATCTTTATGGAGCTGAGCTCTGCTCGAGAAGCGGCTCAGGGTTTTTCCAGCATTTTACGGTAGCCAAAGGTTCATTACTGTGTTCACAAGAGCCCGCGACTGGTCCTT